ACATTTATTAAGCAAATTAATCGGCAAATTGGGGTCGATGTAAAAGGCCTCATACAACTGATGAAAAAAACATTTTTTTCTCAAATAAAAAAAGGTAGGGGGCACAACCATAAAGTAAATCTACCTAAAAATTCTTCAGGAAACCTGATACTGTTGAACCAACCGTTGGGAAATAAAATGAAATTAAAATTTAAACAAAATGATTCTCGCCTGTAGATTTCTGGAAAAGATTGGTCTCTAATTTTGGTCCCTTGATAAGACAATAGACTACTTAGTAAGAAGAAATGTAATAGGTTGGCATCATAGAGAGAAAAAAATCGGAGGGCGGTTGTAATATGCCTCCCAGTGTGATGCTTATTCAAACTTAAGATGTAAGAGGGAAAATTTACTTACAGATATCTAAAAAGGCTAGTGACTAGGCCATAATATATAACCAGCAATTAAAACAGTTTTAATGAATATTGTAAAATGTAAGATCAAAGAATAAAATAATGAAATATAACAAGAGTTTGGGGCTTAGCTAACAATAAAATAAATCGACAGCCAGTTTGTTAAGGCGATGTCATTTAAGCAGCTCCAATCAGATTTAAAATTATATAACAGCACACAAATACGGATAGATGTGCTTTCTGAGTCATTGGTGGTAAATTTATATATATAGCTTTAATGATTTGGTAGAAAGGTTGTAGTCAATAGAAAAAATATGAAACAATGGAATAACTATAGAATAAATAAAGATAAATTGTTTGCGGATTTATTGAAAAGGGAATAATGCCGTGAAAATAATGTCTAGAGGACTTTTTTAAACTTCCTTTACCGATTATTGAGTAGAGAATAACTAAATTTCAATAGGCTCACGGTCTCGCGATCAGCAAATGATCGAGAAGAAAATCAGAAAACAAAGCAGCTTCATAACGAACTCGCTTCTGCTCTTCTTGGTCTAATGTTAAATGAAGGAAGTAGCGAAGTTCCGCTCGTGTTTTTCCGTTCATATCACGCATGAAATCAAGTTCGTGTGGTCTGAGTATATCTTGCTCATCCGTAAGGCCCTTTGCTTCTTTCAGTCCCTTTTCATCCTCCTTAATCGCCAGTTCGTCTTCTGCTTCATCCAAGTTGTTCCTGTACTGTTGGGTGAGCTGGCTCCCAAGACATAAATCAATGCCTCCCCCCAGGCCAGACTCATCTCGACTGGAATGGCGCATCCTTTTACGACTAAGACGGAGGGGCTGGGAATGTATGATGCAAGCGGCAGAACATATAGTACACGAACACGGCTCCATTAATTCTGATAATGGGTAGTCCGAAGAAGAGTCAGTAAAATTTGCAGCCAGAATTGAAGGAAGAGGAATGCTGTGGCTGCCTGGAGATTGTGGAATAAAATCACTTATATGAGAACCTGTGAAGGCCAGGAACGAAAGTGAATAGAAAGGCGCAAAATTTAATTATTCTTCGTTTTGATTTTTTCAAAGATTTATCTTTCCATTTACTAACAATTCATCCCACCGTTTGGCAACTGACCATTAAACTAGTAGCTGCTTATACGATACACGTTAAATTTATCCATAAGATTTCTGCACGTCATAAAAATCATCAGTGGTAGGCTGAGTTTAGAAGCCAGGCTTCAGAATGACAGTCCGATTCCAAAGATATTTCAGAAAGGCTATTTCACTACCCTCAAGTTTAAAAAATGCTTATATAGAATCTAATAAGCGGTAATAGTTCGTTTAATAATATAGCAATAGATTAATTTTTATTATATAATTCCTCCCAAATTTGACTTTGTATTGATTAATAACATGGAAAATGAATAAGTCGATTTGGGCGGTGTGTTGTGCACTAGTCACATCCTAGATGCCCAAATGTAGTTTCTAAAAAAGTTGTTCTTGCAGTTATCATAATGATATTAATTAATACTTCATTTTGAAAAATATACATAAAAGAGCTAAACGGAAAAATAAACATGAATTGTGGGCTCTACAAACAGGTTGAGGGATACGGTTCAAATAAATATTTAAATTCTATTAATACTTATTTCTTTAGAGTAAGTTTTACTGAGCGTTGGCTTAGATACAGTATATTAAGGGTTGAGGCGACTGCTTATGTTAAGTTTAATTAGTTAAAAATTTGA